AATCGACTCAATGCCAGTGGGTGGGGCATAGGTGCTAAGGATACAGCAGTATAAAAGAAAACCTCCCTGCCTTCATGGAGCTTACATAATGCAGAAGAGAATATCAGCTAACTAGAAAACAGCTAACTCGTGGCAAAGCCAGAATGACAACTAGGTCTCCAATTCTTCAATCTGTAATCAGCAGCACCATGCTCTAATGATAAGGAACAAGCAGCTACCTAAATTACCTGCAATAATTATAAATTAAGACAGGCTACTATAAATGAAAATTACTTCTAAGGTCTCATCTAGTTCACATACTGTTAAGAATCTTTAGTCTAATTAACTCTCATCTTAAACAGGCTGGCCTGATAAACGCTCTGGCTCCCCATTCTGGCTATTACTGGGACAGTTTTGAGAAAATCTAAGTATTTCAAACATCAACAATCAGCAGATGACAGCCAGTTTTTAAACAAATGCAATTATCTCGGGCCAACAAATATGGCATCTGCCTTTAGAACACGAGAGCTGAAGCCAATGTAGACATGTTGACAGGAATGTTACAGTTAATTTACCTTCTAGTTCACTCTTTAGAATTTTAACAAATAGGGAATAAATTCCATTAGCAAATAAATATTGTGGATATTGGAGGAAAATGAATGCTAGATTATTTCAAAGGATGTTATCGGAGTTGCAAAAACCATGTACAAATGTAGCTAGATAACATGCATACACTATAAAGTAATGCTGACTATTTAATATGAGTTAATAAAGATTTATTAACCACCCAAATGCAAAGATACTATGGACACACAAAGAAATATAAAGCTGGGCCCTTATCTAGACAAGTGGCCTCCAAGCTGTGTACTAAGGCACAGTGAGCCAACAGAACTTGCTGCAAAAAAGGAAACACTGTAACTGCACTGTCCAGCACGGGAGCCACTAACCACGTGGCTACTGAGCACCTCAACTGTGGCCGTGTGACTAAGAAACTGGAGCTGGCATCTAATTTCATTGTAATTTAGGCTTAAATAAGCCCCATTTGGCTGCTGATGACCATACTGGAGAACACAGATCTAGAGACAGGAGATGGCAGCGTAAAACAGGAGGTGAGTTACTCAAGGGCAGAGGTGGTATCCTTGGTTTTTCCTTTTTGAATCTAACACCTAACAGGGATTCAAAAATGTCATTTCAAGGAGGCATTAAAGGAAGAAACAGGTTAACTATCAACGAGTGATGGAGGTGATACCTAAGTTCTACAACACAGCACCCCTAAATCTGTGGGGAGGTGGGGACAGGTGAAGATGAAGTAAGACTGGCCACGTGTTGGTAACTGCTGAAACTGGGTATCAGAGGGTGTTTATATTATTCTACTTTACAGGTATTCGAAATTTTACTAGAGTAATTGAAAGGGTCTAAGATATACGCCCATAATTTTTTAGACAGTGTTAAAATATAACAATGTTTGAGTCACTTAACTTACCAACATAGAGCCATCGGAAGAATGCTTTGAAGTTTTTCATACTACTATCTATAACTCTAAAAAGATAAAAGGAATAAGAAATAAATGACCATGTGGTAGTCATATGTCATCATTCAATTGTCAATTGGCTATAACGATTCTCTGTTCTATCTTATCCTATCTGGATGACATTTAAGCCTTTAGAACAGCAGATTTTACAAATCAAACATTTATCTAAAAATAAAATTTTAAAAGAGCAAACCCTGATTCTTTTCAAAAATAAAGCAAATAACTCAGATTCTAACTGGTTTTAACAGCCTTGCCACAAACTGTGTAATAGTTTTGCCTAGCATTCAGGAAAGTGTGAAATCCTTTTTTAACTTTGGAAAGAAATCAGGAAAAACTAGTTTTCAGCATTATTCTCAGTTAAAAAAATTGCTCACTGGTCAGTAAAGAAAAAACAAGAAGCATCAACCCAACAGAAAATCATTATTATAAATTTGTACTATGTCATTATCTCTGATACCAATGGACATTACTTTTGGAAATTGATTTTTTATCCTTACAATAACTAATGAGAACTCAAAAATGGAATTTCCCTGGGCTTTACACAAAACGAAAAAAAAAAAAAAAAAA